GACGGTCCTTGAAAGGACTTTGGAGGCCTTAGCGTCGTCTTAAGTCTTGTTTCCCCTTGGGGACTGGATTTGCCTTTGGGAATTGATGTTGAAGATTTGGGCTTCTGGCAAAGCTGTGTTCAGAGATGGGTATATACGTAAAATATCGTATAAAATAAAATGATATAGTTAACACGTGCGACTTTGCATCTGTTGGGAACAGCTCTGTTGGTCTGGTCTCCACGGAGGACACCAAGGGTCAGCAGAGCGTGCGGGAGGGCAGGTGGCCTGCAGTGCTTCTACGGGGGTTCTCCCGAGCAGGGCGCTCTGTTGAATTGACTCTTCTCTGAGTTTGGTTGCCAAGTGAGCAGACAGCAAAGTAATGAGTTCTGGTGGGATTGTATAATGACAGGAAGAAAGAGGGACCCGTAGTTTTTCTGGACTAGAACACGCATTTGGTTCCTGATTCAGTGTATTCCATTACAGAATTGATGAGTTGTGTCTATTCTGGAACGTCATTGAAATTAACGTTCAGCCTAAATGTTAAGGGCTTTGTTTTATTTGGCTGGAGGACTCGAGCCAGGATGACATCCTCTCAGATCACTCTGAGGGACTGCTCCCAAGAGGTAGGGGAGGAGCTAGGATATATAGGAGCTTTACAACAAAGACCAGGTAATTGAAACAATAAAATATTGCTTGTTATCTAAAGAAAACCAGATACCTCAAGTTCAAGTATTTAGTGCTTTTCTATATATGGTGGGAAGCAAACATTTGGGTCATTGAATTCGTTCCTTTGGCAAGCACCTGGCTATCTAGGGCCAGTATCCTGTCCTTTCTTACTCTGAGTCCGCTCAGAGGCACCACGTTGAGTGGCTGAGAGGCCGGGCTGCAGGCATACCCTCTGGAGTTGGCAGCAGCCGCTGATGACTTGGATTCAGCATTCTTTGTTTACTGTCATGGTTGCAGTATTTTCATTCACATTGTAGTATTTTCATTCACAGTGCTCCCCCTTGGTCCTAAATTCAACCTATATTTTGAGAGACATTTCATGACAAATTTTGTCCCACGGTGCTAGGATGGCTCATCCCTAGTTCAGGTGAAGAATCTTCTGAGTTGACATTCAAGGTGTTACTTTTTTTATCAGGCCCTGTTGATACTAAAACTTCTCTGGATCACCTGTCTTACTAGTCTATTATGATCCAGGAAGTGTTTGCCCTTCATTGCTCATTCCCATACCTAGAATCACACTATTATATTTATTTTATTCAGGGTTATAAATTTTATCTGTTTCTTCAAGATGTTTAGCCACCATCAATCTTGCAGGCCTAGTTACACATTGGAAAATGTAACAGACAACAATTTTATAAAATAGACAGTATGTAAGTAATACAGCTAGTAACGTTAATAAGGTCACAAGTAAGACTTTAATAGTCAAGCTGTTTTATTTTTGGGTCAAAATTTTGCTTG